TTGAATTAGACTAACCCTGTGAGGTTCCACTCGCCCGTCATTGGCCCAGAATATGAGCCCCATACAATACGCAAGAACCGAAGTTTTTGGCCCATGATGAACTGAACTGTACCGGTGAGTAAATGAGGAGGGAGAGCAGTTCTATTTTTACACGGAGGACGGAGGAAATGGCGCCTCCCTGGCGGCTTTGCGGTGGTGCGTGGTGGTACCGGTACTCATCTTATCTCTCCTCACATCACCGCCGTTCGCCATTTACTGCGACGAGGATGATTGCTACGATCTCCTAGGGTCAGCACTCTCAATTTTAGCTCCCTTTGCTTCCGAAATTACCTCTTCATTTATTTCTTGATAATTTTTCTTTTTTGTTTGCATTTCGTAGGGTTTCTCAGAACGCTAATGCCTCTGAGATCGAGAAAGCTTACAATAGGCTCTCCTTGAAATAGTAAGCTCAGTAGTTTCCCCATTGTTTGTTGATTTAATCACATCTTCTTCAACTCAGGATTATTGTGTTGATTAATTCGAATCTGTTTGATTAATCCTTAGACATCCTCATATCCGGATCTGGAATCGAGAAAGCTATTTGTAAAAATTGCAAATGCTTATGAGGTACTATATATATTACTTTATTGATTTGCAAATTAAAGCTCAATTGTGATTATAAATGCTTTCAGCATAGTGAAATAGCTAGTGAGTTTGTTGCCATAACTTTTTAAGTTTGTTGCCATAACTTTTTAAGAGTAAGCTTCAGTAAGTGAATTTTTTACTCAAGTTGTGTTCTTGTTACTATTTTTTAGTGATTATTATAATTATTATTATTTTAAATTTCAATTTATTGATTCTGTGTTAATGATAAGATGTAAATATTTTCTGGTGGCAGATTTTGAAAGATGAAGCCACATGGGAACAGTATGACCATGCGATTGCTCATCCAGAGGAGGTGCATTTAAGTTTTTATTAGGACAATTTATGATATGTCACTATGCAATTTCATGTAGCCTTGGTTTTTCTAGGTTTCCATCCCTTTTTCAAAGTTGAAAGTGAATTAATGATAGTACGGAAATTTAAAGCCTATAGGTTTTTATTATCTTTTGGGTTTCTAATTTTGCCTAAAAGGCTAAAAGATACTTATCAATACTATTCTGCAATTGGAAGTGGTCCTATTGAGAACTCTTGGTTATTACCAGGTCAAAGAAAATTAACATTTGAATCTAACGGAACTGAATTTTCTGGGATTTCAAATTCTGAATGCTCAAGCTTTTCCAATTATGGTGATCTCATTGATTACTTTAGACTTGCAGCATAAGCAATTAGATAATTTGCTTCCATGGTTTATATGAAAAGGGATGCTTGTGAGTAGCATATGCACAATTAGTTCAAAGAATATGAATTTCTCTCTCTCTCTCTCTCTCCCTCTCTCTCTCTCTCTCTCACACACACACACACACACAAACACAAACACGTGCACTTAGACATTTTCGCTAATATAACAAGATGCACTTTCTGATGTGTTCATAGGTCATCAGAGTTTTAGCAACCAAAAGTTGTTTTCTTATGGTTAGAACTGACAAAAAATGTGTGTTTCTTTATTTTTCTTTGTTGTTTTAGGATTTTATAACACTGCTTGTTACTATCGTGCATATTATGTTCACAAAATGGTGAGAACTTTTCTTTTACTATTGATATTTCAGTGGTTATTGGATTTTCTTCTTGTTGAACACAGGAGTTTCACTCTGGCCAAAGAAGGAGTTTCACAATTTTATATCTCCTTCTAGGATCCTTGTGCTGTCCTTGTTGGTCTTCTTCTGGTTCTCTCAGCCTTTCAATAGCCAAATAGTTGGACAAGGTATAATCAGGTTAGTCATATAAGAAGCTATTATATATTTAAATTTGAGCTAGAGGATTAGGTGGCAAAAGTTTTCTAATGAATACTGTACTATATACTGCCTACCTGTCAAATAGTGGGCCTCAAATTTTTCCATTTTATTTTTTATTTACATCTTTAGCTCTTTCTCAAAATGTATAGGCTGTGACGATGGTCAAGAAGACACCAGCATATAAAAATAGACTGCAGGCATTGGAACTTGAACGCAGTGGAGGAACCACAAATAAGAAGAGTACCAGGCAGATGGATAAGTATGCAGTTATTGTTTCTTTTTTGCTTTATTTACATTAGTCATGCATAGACGGTTTGGACATGTTGTCCTTTGAGCATGTTTGTGTTTTTTATTCAATTATTATATTTTTGGTCAGTGGATTCAATCCCCGTTGTGGTGTCTGTTCTAAAATTCTCAAGATGTAGTTAAAACAAAGCGAGTCATTTTTGTGTCAGGAAAATTAAGGAAGATCTCAGCAAAGAACTTGAGCTGGATACCAAGGGGGTTGAAAAACCCTGTATCTGGAAATTGATTGGTGTCCGTTTTGGCCTCCTACCTTACACACTTGGCAAGGTTAGAGATGCTAGATTGACTCCAGCTGCTCTTTTCGCATGGCCATTGGTTTCGGAGATATAAGGTGAAACAAGCCTCATATGCTTGGGATTATGCATCTTACCTGATGAGAAAATCCCTTGGTGTGCCTCTTGATGCATGGATGAATATCAGTAAGTATAATTGGCATCTCGTAAGATTTATATTATGGGCAACAAAAGTTTATTACAGCTTTAAAATTTCAAGTCTTGTCTTGTGGTTATATTACCCAACTTCATGTTAAAGTTTCATATCATCTACTATTTTGTGATTGCTCTGAACTCTCTGGCTATAAGAAAGAAATTCTAAACTCCTCCATATTGTTGGGCTAGGGGATATATTGAGTTTTAGATTAGTGCTTCCTGAAGTTTTCACATTTACTTCACACTTTCACGGGTCCTGCTATTATCCACAATTCACCCCAATCCTAAAATTAAATCCTTCTCGTGTGTTTATTAGATGATTCAACCAAGAAGGATCTTGTCCAGAGAGGTGGGTGAAGTCCAATTTGGAGAGCTACCTAACAGAAATGCGTAAAGAGTACAAGCGCTGAAGATAGCAAAATTTCTTGCTTTGACGTTACAGCCAAGCTTGCTGACTCAAGATCCTCTGCTAGAAATTATCATTATCATTAGGCAAAAGCCTACATTTAAGTTTGAAGGTTTTAGCTCTTATTTTATATTATGACAGTTTTAACCCCTCATTTTATTAAATTTATAAGTTTTTACCCCTCATTTTATACTATGACACTTTTAGCTCCTCATTTATTAAAATTGAAGAAAATAGCTTTCATTTTGTAACATTTTGTTAGTT